TTAATTATCTGATTCATTTCCTATTTAACAGGATGCTCCAAATATTTATAATGACATTAAATTATTGTAATTTTCTTCAACACATGTTGTTTTCTCACAGATAATTAATTTGACCATGGTATGCATATTATTCAAGTCTGTGTAAGTAGAGTAACGCAAGAAAAATGACAATAATGTTTATCACGAGTTTTGTTTTATGAAAAGGCTAGATTTATTAAGATGTGTACGCTTCAAGGTTTAATTCTTCTTTTAGAATCGTATTGTTAATCCGAATAATTATTTTCATAAAACTGCCCATTAGCCTTCGAAGGAAGGGACTATTGTATGATATACAAGATGTAGTTAGTACAATATGTTCTAAGAAAGTCTTTGACAAACAGAAAATATCAGCTATTATTCCGCCTTATAGTAAAATTATTGATTTGAATGAAATCGCTAATTGTAATATCTTATCCCACATTCAATGAATGTCAATTTTTTTCTTATTAAAAAATTACATTTTCAGGCGATCCGTAAACAGCACTGTTAGTGACAAATACTATAGAACATACAATGTACTTTCCAATGTTTTTGTAAATTCCTTTTATCCTTTTAAAATATTATCATTTAAAATATTATCATTTAAAATATTATCATTTAAAATATTGAATTCATCCCGAATAATTATGCAACCTACAAAGTAGAAATTAATGTGTATGCCTATTATGACATTGTTATACGACAATTAGAAAATAGATTTTAACCGTGGATTTATTTTTAGAACAAAGCCATATTTCTTTTTATTTTTTACCTCGGACAATTATTATTGCTGTATCATTTAAGTTTATGGTGATTATGCTTGTTACTGTTATTAAATTTCACATTTCATTGTCTCTTTTAGTCGTTGCAAGTCAATTGGTGGCAAATACCAAGAGACCAAAAACTAATTTGTGCATAGCAGTAATACAACTTTATGTCAGGTTGAGTTTCTGGTTTAGAAAGAAAAAAATATTGACAACGTAAGCAGGATGTGTTTCTTGTCAACGATGAACACGCTTTTCACTCATTTTTGAACCTACTCAATATCTGATTCAAGACATTTTAAAATATATAATTCCAATTGATTTCATGGTTCAGCGCCATACATGATACTATAAATATAAGCCACAAGACGTCTAAACATTTGGCAAACTATGTAACGATTTTTTTGCGAACCGGGCACTTTTCTGTGTAACATTTTTCAGGTAAGCTCGAGCTCATAATTGTGAAAGCCAAAATTTATAGCGTTTCAGAGCATGGTGAGCGTTCAATACAATCCAACATTTTCTAAACTGGAAAAAGGCGAAGTAGGTGGATGCACATAAGAGACCTAATATGAAAGACTTTACCCTTAAAACATTACAAAATAACCAACGTTTTAGAAGAAACACTTTCTAATTGTCTTCATCGTCTTAACAGTTGCTAGAAGGTCTTTAAAATGAACTACAGAGCTAACAACATTCAAGCAAGATCAAGACTATTTCAAGCATCAATATATCAATTGGCGGGTAGTCTCTAAGCAATATATGAATAATGTGCCTTCAAAAAATAAGGAAGTCTTCCTTCAAGTAATCAAAGTTCGTTTGTATAATTGACTCACCTCCCAACACTGAATAAAATAGATAAAACGTTATCAGTCTTGAACTAGTCTTCTTTATATTCACACAACTAATTTCCCCCAAATTATACTCCCGGACAGTCGGATTACTTTGTTTTGAAAGTCATTAGTATATCATTATATTTGATTGAAGTGTAATACATAAGAGCGTTACGTGTATACAAATGCATCTTTTTTTAGGATAAAACAAAATCGATGTATGTTTTTTTTTCAAAAGAAAACACTGTATACCAGACGATTTGATTAATTAATAACATGCAAAGAAAAAATGTTGTCGAAACATCTCCAGACTATATTACTTAGCATGAGTTTGTTTGATGGCTTGATGTAAGTGTCACAACAAAACATTGAAAAAATCATCTAGCTTTCGCACAGAACCGTCAGTGGTGGTAGGAATGATAAATTAGACACACATTTGGCGTAAATAGAAAATTAAATTAGCAAACCTGTAAGTGTAGACGATTGAAACAGATTGAAAAAAAGATGCATTTAATTTTTTCTTTCATGAACATCATATGACAACCCCAATGACAGCAATCATTGAAAAAAGGATGACTGTGTCGCAATTCATCTTTCTGTATTCTCAATACAGTAACTAGTTACACGTTTCACTGGAACAAAACAACCGCCATGGGTTTAAAGCGCTTTATAACGAGCGATTCATAAAAAAGATAGACAGAAATAATTTTTAGTTTCACTTTTCCAAAAAGTAGAATGCCTGCATGTAAAATACTAATCCTTTTTGTTTTACAAAATGAATGACCTTTCTAGAAACGATCGAGTACAAAAAAGGCAATTTAGTTAGCTCCATTATAGTTTATAATGTATATTATCTCATACATATATATATATATATTTGGGATGTATTTGTTTAATGGTTATATTTTAGTAAGACTGTCGGCTAAGGCATTTGAATTTTATCTTTAATATAGATTTTATGAAAATGGCAAATCATTATAGCTCCTAGAATTTTTGCTGTGAAAAAATAAATAAAAATACATCAATTGTCAGTTGCTTTGAAAAAAATGATGTATGGGACGAAATAACAAAAAATAAAAGAAAAAAAGCTTTTGAGATATGCATAACTTAATGAATAAAAGCATTAAACCACAATTTCAATACTAAAATCAATTAGTTGCCACAAAAGGAAAATATTGTTGACATTTCAGACTAAGGAGTCTATAGCACTCAGCTATTGTCTAGTTGTCGTTAAATGTAACAACGGGATGACTATGATGGTATTCACGATGTCTCTATTATTTCATTTTATGACCAGTCTTTTAGACATTATCATAGTATAATAAGAATTTCTTTGATCTATAGCCACATTTTAAAATATTTAATTCACAGTATAAAAGGTTGTCATTCTTGTTATGATAGCATGACATTAAGGCAGTTAAGCGTATGAACAAGAAGTAAAAACGAATCCGGAAAATGTAGAAAAGTGGAAACATTTTTGTCATAAAAAAACTCACTTTAAATTGAAGATACAGCGTCGATCATACAAACAGTACCCATAAGTCATTATGATATTATGAAACGGCTGTTATATTTACCAATTTTCGTCATACTAACTATGAAATCGTCATTAGTTCAATGCATATCTAATAATAGCTTAGATAAAGTCTGACAAAACACCTGTTACGTGCAAAAATTTATTAAAGGAATTCATTGCTGGGCAATTTCATACCTACAAAAGTACATCCTTGATTAGCAGACAACGTGACGTGTTTACTTTCGTTTGTAGATTTGTTTGTATGCCGGTTTCATATGTTTCTTCAAGAGTCACAAAAGTTAACGTGGAATCTTTTCTTTCGTTGTAAAGCGTCTAATGACATTTACATGTCTTTTGTGTTTAACGATATATTGTTTTGTTACTAGAATGTTGCCGTGTCATTGGTTGCTTGTATTCATACATGTAAGAGGGTAATAAAATAATAGATAATCCAGCATCTCTTCCTTTTAAATAATACAAAAAAAAAATGATATTGCCATGACTATTTTGATTTATGATAAGTTGTTTTGCTAGGTTGCCGTGTCATTGGCGTAAAACCCCAGCAATTGCTTGTACTCATACATTGATTGATTGTTGGTTGCTTAACGTCCAGTGTGTGCTCATAGATGTAAGAGGATAATAAAATAATAAATAATACCGCATCTCTCTTCGAATTCCTTTAAAATAATACACATACAAAAAAAAAAAAAACAACAAAAAACAAAACAAAAAAAACACTGATTTAAAACGCTCCAAATCTCCTACCATCCTATGCTAATAAAGGGTTCGGATGTAACTGGACGTTATTAATTGAAAACAAAATGAATAGTCTTAGAATAAAATCAAATGTATCAAACATAAACATGTTTAACCCAGAAACATTCTGTATGTTCCTGTCCCAAGTCACGAGCCTGTAATTCACTAGTTATTGTTGCTTGCTGTCCGTCTCATTTGTTGGTCATTTGTTATTTTTAACATAAATCAGGCCTTTTGTATTCTCTTTTCCATGAATTGTTTCACATAGCTTACTACACGGTTTGGGTTTTGCTCATTGTTGAAGGCCGATCAATGCCCTATATGTGTTTACATCCTCGTCCGTTGGTCTCTTGTAAATAGTTGTCTTCTTGGAAATCATACCACATCTCCTAATTTCTATATTCAAAATGAAATTAAAAGGAATAACACTAAGGACTAAAAACGTCATGAGGGTTTATTTTGGTTTAGATGAGGAAGAATTAAGCCGCTAATTAATAGATACGTATAATGATGTATGCGAAATTAAAGGTTTAAATTATAAGATCTTTTAAATATTATGAATATTGATGGAGAATTTATGGTAAAAAAACAGCATTCATTTTATTTTCCTACAAAATATGACAAAATCTGCATATTTTGACATATATTTGTGAGTGGAAAATATCGAGCACATGCAAGTACCACAAGTATTGACTCGAGAGGTGTTGTTCATACAGACTCACATCACGGTATTTAATAAAATTGGCACTCGCATGTGCTTTTTAGTTGCGGGTCCAAAAAATCGTTTTTAAATTGACTAAAATCTATATATATTTTTAACCAAAACGCGTATAGGCGACTTTTCCGTGACGTCACAACTACATACATTGTGACGTCATGGATCGTCACGTATAGATCTGTTTATTGCTATATATATAATTACATCAACATTTGCATTGACATAAATGTAAATCTTTACTTTATGGTTCAAATTTCAGTAAACAAGAAGGCCAAATAAGGCGCGTAATGCCCCCATCTTTTGTTTTGAAAATAATGTGCAAAATGTACACATATTATCATAACTGGTGAAAATTCTTTAAGAAATTTAAAAACAATCTATTATAATATACTAACCTGGCACAGATCGTTTGCCCCATGTTGACAATGAATGCCATGGATTACGTTTTCCCCATGATTTGAATGATGACCATGGGCGTTTTCCCCATGACTGGAGGTTGTTCCATCCTCGTTTTCCCCATGCTGATACAGAAGACCATCTTCTCTTGTCAGGTTCACTCCTTTTTCCCCAGACTCCGACTTGATTCCATTTACGTTTATCCATGTCATTGTCTAATTCAGAATCATCTAATAAAGGTGTACGTTTACCCCAAGTGTTAAAACTTGACCATTTTCGCTTATCGTTTTCAATATCATCAGAATCAGATCTTTTTCCCCAAGAAGTAAAACCAGACCATTTACGTTTGTCAACATTTTCATAGTCTGGCAAATCTCGTTTCCCCCAAGATGTAAAACCACTCCACTTTCTTTTATCTTCATTATTGAGGTAATCTTTGATTGCTCGTTTACCCCAAGATGTAAAACCTGACCACTTTCTTTTATCAATGTCATCAGAATCTGGCGAGGCACGCTTTCCCCAAGTATGTAACACGGACCATCTTTTTCCTGAATATAGCGGCCACCCCCGTTTACCCCAACTTGCAACTGAAGACCATTTACGTTTGTCTATGTCTTGATTTGCGGTATCTATTAGATTTTGTCCAATAATAGAAGATAACTCATCGCTATTACTGTCATCCTTACTCAAGGTTTCGGCACTGTTGCATATCACAAAAATTGAAAGAAAAGTCACACATGATATTAAACTGTTCTGTATGTTGAGTTTCATTCTGTTTATAACCCTGAAGAAAAATAAATACAAAATTATTTCATTATTATATCTATTTATATTGAACGACGTATACCGATGTGATAAGGATATTGCTCAGAGACTTAATTAGCTAAAAGGTTGCAAATAATGTTTGAAGTAACGAAAATCTGCTGGCTTCTGATTTGGATGGAGTCAATGCTAAGTAGATTTAAAAGATCGGCACTAGTGATATGAATTTCTACACAAAATACTTCCTCGATTGTTTCTGTTGCTTAAAATTGTATGAATAAAAGGAGATCTGTGGTATGCATATACATTGTTGAAGGCCGTACGGTTGCCTATAATTGCTTACATCCACTTCATTTGAACTTTGGTGAATAGTTGTCTCATTGGCAATCATACCACATCTCCCTTTTTTATGACTGTATTCATATTACTCAATAACAATTATATACAAAAATCCTTTAACTTGTTTGTAGTTTTCTTGTAGTATACAATTAAATATCACTTAGAATAAGTATGCTTAGGTTTCCCATCAACTGTAGATTCGAAATGACGTAAACATATTATGTACACACACATATATAATACTTATGCTTTATGACTTTCTTCGACAGTCGTTTTACTTGTTAATGGCGTTTTGAGGTAAAACCTCAACTAATTAGAGGACACTATATAAAGTTGACATATTACATAATACTCATGTAAATTATACAAGGCAAAGGTCAACTAGTATTTTCTTTTGATTTTAAACAATTAATCAATGCTCTTGACTTTTAAGTTCCTCATTGTTACAGAATTATAGCTTTCCTTCTTCCTCTTGATGTGTGTTTTTTCAATCTTTCTATTCTGAGCGATGCTTATAAATCAACAATCTAAAAAACTTACTCATGATTTACTGCATATATTAAAAAGAAAAATAGTAGACACTTTATAAAGCTTATACATTGTAAATTAAAAGTTAATGTTCAGCTCCTTTAACAAGATTGACCTTATATAATTATTTTTTATTCTTCTTAAAGTGTCCAAGGATTTTGTCTAGATTCCCAGTATTTCACATTTACTTTCATAATCTATGTTAATCCAGCAAAGTGTAATGGAGTTTATTTATCGGCTTTAGAAATCTTGCGCCATATAAAGTTATTGGTTATAAAATTTTCATATGCACAGAATGATCATATTTTCCTCAAAATAAACAACACAAGAACTACGTGTATAGTAGGATTCTTGTTGTTACCCGTACTCCTCAGATGGAACTTCTTGTAATATATTTGTATATCAACAGTTACTCACTCACTATATACTAAACTCGTGAAGACGAAAGGAAAAAAATGACCTTGATTTTAACATCCTGAAGGTTATGTATGTCTTGCATTATCGACGGAAGATTTTTTCCAAAAGACCGTGCAAAATGTTTAGATTGGATTTTTATTTCATCTGCAGATAAGATGCTAGCAGGTATATCAATATAATTTAATGAGACGTCCTCCTTCGTTTCATTCAGTTTGAAACTATTCTACAAGCCTTTATATCAATTGATTTGTCAATTAAATCGCGATAAAGCGACAAAGTGACAACCAGTTGATCAAGTAATTTGTTTTGGGCTTGTTGAACACTGCCATAAGAGGCTGTTTAAAGAAAATAAATTCATTCCTGTAGCAAAATACAACGATGATTTGATAATGGCGATTTCATCTACTGTTCACCCACTTCAGTCAGCTGTAGCAGCTGGATTAACGTACATACTCTCGATACACTTCGTTCTTAACAAACCCAGAGAGACGACAAAACTTATTAAATTTCAAGTCAAACTTCAAATGGAGAAGAAAAAAGATTATTCAATCGGAATGACATTAAAATCTAAACTTGCAAGAATTCAATTCCAAGATTGATTTTTATTTGCATTTGAAAAAGTTAACTAAAAACAAGATGTGAACAACTTGATTTTTTTATAAAACCTCGTTGACATGAATGGTAAAAATAGTTTTAACAAATTGCAAAGCCAACTGATTTACAGTTTAATACTAAATGCATTTGCAAAAGAAACAAATAGCATTTCACAATATCGACTTCAATAATTTGGAGAAAAAAATTAAAAAAATACTCAATAGCTTTTGTCAATTCTAGCAGACAATTCTGGTCTTCTGAATGATTTGCACTTTAAACGGTCTAGAGAACAAGTGACCTATATTAAGGATGATGAAAACTACAGAACAACGTTTTCTTAGAAGTGCTGTTATACTCCAATTAAGAGAAACTTCTTGAGAAGTATAACAAAAAACTGTGATGAGGAGACCGCGAGATTTATAAATGATACCTCCATTTTTTTTAAATATTAAATAGGGACAATTTAGAGGGGGTAAAACAAAAGCCAAAAGAACAAACAAAACACAAACAAACACAAACAAAAGCAAATTATTTTAAAATAAAAATGTATAATACAAAGACGACAATCAAGCAAAGAGTAATAAATAACTCTGATACAGCTGACTTCAAATTTACACAGCCCAGACCCTTCACACCTACCCCTTAAAGGTTAGCATTTAACCTGTTCTACACGTATGTATGATAGGCAGACTAGATAATATCCAAGAGAGTACGTGTTTCACTATACATAGAATAGAGAATTGAAACGTAGAATGTGTCAAAGAGACAACAACCTAACCAAAGAGCAGAAAACAGCTTAAGGCCACTTACAATATATAGGTCTTCAACACAGCGAGAAAATCCCGCACCAGGAGACGGGCTACAGCTTGCCACTATGCTCTGTTGAAATTGATGTTATATTTTGAATTAGTTTATAACAAATATGAGCTTAAGTATATGAATACGAAATTTATTTGTGTGTGTTTGTTTTTTGTCAAATCAAATATATTGCCTCTATATCATCTACTTAAAATCTTTATTATTCAATAAACAGAGCAATATTTTTAAATCCAATATTAATGCAGTTTTATCGTCTATCAAACTGAACTCGTTCATTTTCTTATGACCGATACTTTTATGATCTTTCCAAAAGTGACCTTAACGTAGCACTTTCCAATAATACTGATTTTTGTAATTTTATTACACGTAATAAAATAAAAGACAAATTATTAATCGCCATTTCGATTCATTAGTCACTACAAACACAATCTTTTCATCGAAAATCACTAATCTTATTCTCAGGAAACACGATCTTCAACTTAGATTTTTGTGTTCAATTGAGTTCATGTCAAATGTATAGAAATGCATTTTTAGCAAATAGGAGACAAGATGATTAATTGTAAGATGTGAAAGAAGTGTCTTCGAGACAGTTCAACATTCCATGCTGAATTATTATGGTTATAGGGTAAATTACTGTATGAAATGAATGGCTGGTTAATAGATTTTTCGTTTTAAGGAAATAAATTGTACTAAAGTCCTTTATACCATGGGTTAATGTCGATTCAAATAATGTTATTAGCTGTTGGTCATACTCATTTAAACTTTTACATTTAACACTTTTTAGTTCTAAACTTATTATTAATAATTTGTTAAGAAACCTTATTTGTACTACATTGGACAGTTTACGGTCATAAAGATTTAATTTAAAATTCTGATTGGACTGAAATTGATCTCGGAACTGTCGCATGTTTAGGGAACATAAATCACTACAATTTAAACAGAAGAGATATCTTTTTATTTGATTCTAGTTAAAAGCTATTTGTTCCCTGCCATCTGTTTGTTTCACAAACAACGTGTATTCTATTTCAAATATTCCGTTCTGGACATAGTCAGAAAATTTATTTATCACGTCACATCAACTCGTAATAAATTTTATGTTAAAAAAACACAGAAGAATACGCATGTTGCATTTGTTTTCAAGCATCTAGCAATTTAAACAAAACACTCTATATTAAAAATACGAACAGTCAGCAAGATTGGAAGCGGAAAGGTAACGGAATCATCGGCACTGACATTATTAAATGTGTTTATGAAATTCAATATCCTTATTTTTTTAAGGTAAAATTTGGGTTTTTGATTTGAAATATCCTACCTGTTTATTTTCTAACTGAGTTCTAAAATTTGTTCAAGTGTACAAAACGTTTGAAGCCATCTATGAATAATTTTTGCTATGAATAAGTATTCAACAGTATGTATGACATAACATGTTATGAATATATATGCAAATGTAATATTGGGAGTTTCAGACAAGATTAAACAATCCTGATATAAAACTGATTCACATTTGCGCGTCCACAATGCCATATGTCAAACTATATTTAATAACAGATTAAAAGCAGTGAAAAAAATCGTGATTAAAACTATAAAACACAAAACATTGGTACAGAACAGTGAATAGTCCGGCGATTGAAGAACGATATGGAAAAATATATGCTAAGCTACTATAAAATTCTACTTTGATTGAACTTTTTGTACTAACTTTATTCATTAATTATTGTTGGTTTACTAAGCAAACATTTTACATTGTGTTTGATATGCAAATGTTTGCAGCTCTTGCATAACACATTTCCATGAAAATACTATTTACAATGTATATTACTACAACTTTCAAACAACAGAGACAGAAATACGTATAACATTAATCGGTTAAAAATTATAAAATTAGAAGATCCCAAGGTACCAATCAAATTCATATGTTTAAAAAAAACACAAAAGAAAAAAGACAGAAAGACAAACAAGAGTACACTAAAAACTGTACACAGACACATTAAAGATTTAATTAATTAGCTCTACCAAATAAAAAAAAAAAAAAAAAAACAAACAAAAAAAACAAACAAAAACGGGGATGAAATCGTTTTCTCCGGAAGGATTAATGAATCTTTCTTCAATAGTAGTGCCCAAGATAAATTAAAAACACATGAAAAGACCCATTAAATGATAGTCTCGAACGACGAAACAAGGACGGTTTAAATGGCTAAATGTATGACAAATTGAACACAAATGTCGTATCATTTTCGTAACGGTCGACTTAATGATGGAAACCGTAAATGTTTGTATGAGATGATTTCATATTAAGGTTCATGTGGACCATTTGGCTAAAATGGC